CTTCTGATTGGTGTTTAATTATGCATTTTCCTGTTTTGCCGGCTTCTGTGTGGCTACTTGGAGTGACGTGCTGCAAATCCACGAGTCTTGGATAACCGTTGACCGTTAAAGTTGACTGACCAATCAGGATTCGAGTGTCACTCAGGTGCTGAATGCGAATTACTGGAGGTCAATAAACGCGTCCCATCACGTTAGTTACCGAAATTGTTGAGTTGAGGCCTGGAGACTTTGCAGCCTCCAAGCCAAACGTGAAAATGACGTCATTGGTAAGATCTTGGATGATGACACGTTGAAGGAATTTGTGCCGGAGTGACAAACAGCACCATAAATAGTAGGTTAACACTATGAAAATATTTGACTTGTCGAAGTGAAATGGGCACCAATTTGTCGCAGTCCCACGCATAATATTGCCGAACCATTTTTTCGTCATTGTCTTTTATTAATTGTTATTGAATTATAATTATTTTGACGACAAATTACAAACCTATTTGTGGTTTTCATCTCAATTTACTAAAGTAAGATTCACGGTAAATTACATCGTAGATTATCGATGTCAAACCGCCGACGCACCTACCTATTTTTTTTGATTTTTTAGACCGCTTTTGACATTATGGTAAGGAGATATTTGTGGACTCTGTGTAATCACATATTTTAAAGCTAAAATGTGAAATTTTGCCGAAGAGGAAGTGATGCATAATTAGTATTATGTCGCTCTCTATTAAACTAGGAATCACACTAAGTTTTATGCAGTTATAGCCTAAATGCAGGTTCTTTCTGTCATTTTTATCCTTATTCTAACAAAAGTAATATTCGAATTCACGTCGAATCTTAGTGTGCCATCATCAACATCATTGTTAGTCTTTGGTTTTAAAACAATTTTTGGAGCCATGAAACACGGTAGGTCTACGTTATTGATGTTAATCAAGGCTAAGATTCTTTGGTTTAGAGCAGCGTTGAGTTGAGAACAGTATGAAAACTGCAAAAAAAACTGATATACGTGAATTTACGCCTTCCTTGTCTACCTTCAGCAAGGCTTTCTCTACAAATTACCACGCACTCGTTTCGTTGCAACTTCAAACGAATTGCGGATTACGACGTTATAGATACTATTTCTAGGTATTAGCGGTAGCAAGGGAGTGCAATATTCCTGCTTCTGTGGGCTGACAAAAAAAATTAAAAAAAAATGCAGTTTTAAATCACACTTCTTCAGCGATTATTTTATTTTGTGCCGGATTTTCACTCAAATGTGGCGCTGCGTTTTTGATTGGCAGATCGATCGATCGATTTTTCCTAAAGGCCTCGGGTTGCATTGATTAAGTGTCACGCCCAAGTGCAATTGACTAGTGAAATGCGACCAAAGATTTTTTCTGGACCAATTAAAGTAGAAATATTAAAATTTTTTGGAGTATTTTTCGTGTAAATAGGCAATCGCTTCACGGAACCATGAGGGAATAAGTAAAGAACACTTTGTTTAACTTTCTGGACACAGCCGCATGCAAGAAATCGGCGTGCCGGCCGGGTTGGTTTTTTCGTAACAATTAACCATACATCTAACCGGCTTTGCCCGGGCCATTATGTACCGTAACGCAAAACGGGGGTGTGTGCGATTAAAGCGTCACCTGAGGTGAGTCATGGGAGGGTGAATAAGAACTGTCTCAGTGGCTAAGACACCAGGAGGCGTTGATGAATGTGCGTAAAACGTCCGCACAGAGGGGATGATTCATTCACACAAGTACGACAGCCAATTAAATTGCAGGACTTGTGTGGATGATTCAAACTGCACCTGGCTTCAAATTTGTACTCCACAAAATCACATATTTCAAACTTTCGACGAATTTAATAAATTGGTATTCACTGATATGCGAGTTGAGACACACCAGTTAGGCAATTCCCACAACTTTTGCCGCGTCATTCCTCTTTACCTCAGTTCGAGCTAAGTGGTTTAAATGTAATGGTAATGTTTTCGAGTAATGACCACCCGTTTTTACAACAGACTCAGATGTTTTGACTTAATAAACCACCATGTATTTATCTGTATGGAGGGACCGTAGCTTAGTAAACAAGTATTGTTTACGTCTCCTGTTGCCGTGGTTACCAAAGCCCTTGTTAACATTGATTTAGAAGATAAAAGTTAAACATCGAATTGCTAAATACCTTTGAGTACAATTTGAGACATTGAGTTGCCAACTATCAAACTATGCCATGTCGTTTCACAAAAAAACGATTTGAACGTAATTTTAGCACAGTCTAGCCATTTGGTTTTTATTTAAGAAAATAGACGCTCCTATTTCCATTTAGATAATTGGATAGTCTGTTCGAATGTCTGAAACGAAATTTAACACACTATTTTATGCCAGTTGTTGTAATGTCTTGTTTAAATGGACCTAACATCTTGCCAAATCACAAATTCTGGATTATCTCAAAAGCAGAATGAAGGAGGAAATGTTTGGGCCATAACTAATGCTTATTACCTGAATCAATTGCAGGAAAATCAATAAAATCGATTATGCATCCATCCAGTACAAATGCCATGGTTATATGTTAAATTTTAAGGAACCTTGAAGTTACATTGACCGAAATTTACGAGTATTTTGATTAAGAGAACCGGTAGAACTAAAAATAATCCTGTACGATTTCGTCAAAACCCTTTTGTTGCGGTAAAAAACGGAAAACTCGGTTCAAGATGTGGTCATTTTAAAATGATAGCAAAAATATACTGCTATTACTGATAAGGTTCAAAAGCAAACTTCGTTAAATTCATGAAATAGTAGGTTCGAATACTGTCATCTGCTAGTATTAAAAATTGTTATCTTCATTCGGTTCGGGAATCTCGCTATTTAATAGCGTGTAGAACAAGCTACAATGGGAAGTAAATTTGATTCTTTAAATACTGTCTTTCTCAAAAAATGTGAAGCTTTCATTTTTAAAATTAGGATATGGATGCATGCGCTTTCTTATATAGTCAAAAATGTGCACACGAATTGCATTCTCGGGCAGTCGACGACGATTTTAATTCACAACTAAAAAGCATCATATATTACTCATGTACCATTTCAGTATAAGCCATTATAGCAAGCATATTTCTGAATAATGTAACTCCAAATAGCAGGTCACGTAAAATGAGAAAACATGGCTTAGTTAGGATCGCAATAATTCAACGTTCACAGTTAGGTCTGTGTTCATAAATTTAATCAATAGCATAAATAACAAGAAAACCCGATTTGGTTACATAGGTTAGACCATTTCAATCCCAAGAAATTTGTGAAAGAAATTTATCAAATTCAACATGATTAGAGAAGCACCTTCAAATTCAAACCGTCCACTTAAATTTACTAACGGGATACTAATCCGCATGTCATTAAAGTCCAAGCATTTATTTATCACTAATTCCCACAAAAGGCATTTGTATTAATTCCAAAATGAAAAATAGTTAATCAATTTTCATTTACTCAACCCAAATTAAAATAAGCGAAATTCAAGTAGAGTATATACCACGTGCTAAATAGTACATAGATGAATAAATAACACTGATAGTGAGTTGAAGAATCGAGAGGTAGTATAACTTCGATTCACAGAACAAAGCCAGTTATAACCACGAATTTTCCCAAAAATACAAAACATTTGCCAGTAGTTAAGGAGCAGAGACTAGACAATGAGCACACGATCAAAGCCAAATTATTTAATTCCCCAACTAAAGATGGAAGATGAACAAGTTGATTTTCGCCAAGATTTCTTAATCCCGTAGCTCCTAAGTATGACAGGCAGCCAACACACATGCGCACGTCAGACACTAAGGAAATCCAAAAAGTCCAAATTAGTAAATCTAATTAGGAAACATGTTTCAAATTTTAAATCTCTTTTTGAATCATGGGATAAATTTTCCAAAATAATACAGGCTAGAAAAATTTTTTTTATTATTTTCTAAGTTCAAATTGATTTTGGGAAAACTATGGCTGCAACGAAAAACAACTAAATGGCATTTAGCACGTCCAGAAGCTAAACCTTTCAAAAACGCCGACTATACTATATGTCTAGGAACAGTACAACATGACAATTTACCATCCATGAATATCTGTGATCGCACCATTCCATGAGACTTAAGTTCTAAATAAGAAAGAAAATACACCTCGTTCCCTAAAATCGCCGAGTCACTCCCAAAAAAAAGCCACTTCAAAATGTATGTAGGCAAATCTCTAGATATATAAAGAAAAAAAACTTGAATTACAGGCTTGGAAAGAGATCTGAGATTCGTTACAATCGATGTTGCACAAACATAAAAACTTGTACTTTGCTTATATATTGCGCTATAAATCATCGGCCAATTGACTATCAATTAGGCAGCAAAATGTACGTGACCGCCATTTGTTGAATTAAGGAAAAGGTTTAGTGAGATTAAACTAGGGACACTAAGTATGTCTTTTTATGAACTTTATTACGAATGATTCAGAAAAATTTTACAACACCATTTTTTAAACAGGTTCAAAACGATTGAAGTTTCATTGTTTTACCGTTGTTTATGTAGATCAGTTCAGCACGGTTGGCGGGCACATCTAGCAAACTGTGATCTGATTTGGTAGGAACAAAGGCAGGTCTGTTTTGTCTATCCCTATTTCTTTCGTTATGGGGCATCTCTGCGCTAAAATTTTTAACGACCCTTTTCAGTTTGATATCAGGTGCCTAGAACTTTTGTGATTAAGAATTTGTATGTGCCACATTTCTTAAAATACTGATCACGTCATATTTTTCAAAATGGTGGACCCTCGACGACCTAATCTCGTGTCCTCTACGTCTTTAACACATTTGGCTTTGAAATTTAAGGGGAATTTGGTTAATCTTAACAGTCTTTTATGTGTCCGTGATGTAATATTTATTCACTTTGTGTAATTCTCTTGTAATTGCGTAGGTATATTGGGATACAAATAGGCTATCTGTCGTTACCTTTGCTTCTTTATCTGCATTAATCTTTGTGTACTTTACCTCTACCTTTTTATTGTTGAAGAATGGCCTGTGTTGCGCTCAAGAGATCGGCCGCATTTGAAATCATCGGCCCATCCTCACCGAAAAGGCATAGATGTTCCTCAAGTCTTCCTTGTAACTGCCAGCTTCCTGCGCAAGAGTCAGCCTTTACACCTTCCACGAAGATATCGAAGTGTAAGTTCGATTTCTCGCCCGGTAATGCCTTGGAGTTCTTTGTTAATCACATCGTACTTTTGTCTCCAGCTCAGATACATCGACGCATCCGCGAAGAGGTACTTCGACTTCAGCGCCGCCGAGTCATTCCAAAATTCCCGATACATTGTCTTCCAACAAATATCGAAGCGCCGGATGTGTATAATGATAGACCAAGCTCTCCTGAAGGTAGTTTCCCTTATACGCAACGCCATTTATTCCGCCTGTAGTTATTCTCATGACCACTATCTTGTAGTTTACCTAATACTGCACTCGTTGACTTGTGTATCACCCAGTACCAAAAATGCATGTTTCTACAAGCCCCGTATTTAGTACTTAGACGCCTCCTCTTACTTTTAGATAACCAATTTCCGTTGGTTGTGGATGATATCGGCTACCAATGTAGGTGTCCTCCAAGTATTTAGTAATGAGAGGGCTCAGACGCATTCCGCGATTCTGTGTCTATGCGCGAGTTTTCTTTGTCGAGAAAAGTTTTGGTTGTCCCTAGCCACTTCATGTTGTACAGATGTGTTCTACTGTGCTGATCTCGAATCACTAAACCACATAAGTTATCAATTTGAGTCTGTAAATGTTAACCTAGGGCTTCTACGCACACGCTGCGTTGTGAGTCGGTGAAACAGATGCTTTTAGCCAGTGGTGCCAACTCAGCGCCTACGTGACGCCGCCATTTTGTCCTTTAGAATCATCACCTCCGGCATGCTCTCAGGTGATTAGTAGTATGCGTCACATGGCGATTCGTTCGCCCAAAGCCGACTCGGAAGCTTCCTCGGACTCCGATGAGGGCTGCGAGGCGTCCACTTCACCTCCTCAGTCCCGCCCCGCCTCGTCGGTGGCAGCCCTCGCTCAAGCCTCATCAAAAATCGCTTCATCAGTTGCTTCCGGTGCCACCCATGCTTCCCACGACACAGTACCGCTTTTCACGCTGTGCCAAGTAACTGCGTTGTGTGATCGCCTCATTCGTGAGAGAGAAGACCAGCTCAGGGAGGAGTACGACAACATCCTCTCTTGTAAACTTGCGGGTAAGGCTATGTGACTACTCAGTTATCCACAGTGACGCATCTGTTTTTCATAGCTGCGCTACCATCATTAAGCTTGTCCTCCTGGCTTGTGGCAATGATTTGGGGACTAGTGTGGTCTCATTTGGGCGAAATCTCTCACATTAAGACCCCCACTGTTTTGGGTTGAAGTTGTTAGTCACTCTTGTACGTGAATGGTGAATACGTAATTTTGTACTTTTCAGAACAGTACGAGGCCTTACTGAAATTTAATCAAGATCAGCTGAGCCATCGATTCAAGGATACCCCTATGAGCTGTAAGTTTTTTTAACCCCGAGTCGTTAGAATGCGCGTGTTAGTAACTGCCTCAGGCTTCTAACACGCACATAGAGTTTTGGCGATGCCTCGCCCTGTGTAGCTGGTTGTGTCATATGCCCTAGTTGCACCCCTGTTGTCACTCGTCGCAAATCACTGACATCGTTCTCACCTTTTAGACGTGTCCTAATCCGGATGGTGGTACATTGACCTCGTTACACCACAATGTCTTGCAACAGTGCTCTCCCCTCCCTCGTTCTTATCCCATGCAAGTCCTCGTCCTTAGCCCTGTCAGTTGCAGAGAATGAAGTCAATTGTATGCCACGTCGAAAGACGCGTAGAATCGCCTTCCTCCTTCGCAAGCGTTCACTTTTTGCTTTGGCAGACACACAGACACCACGACTAAGTGGATGCTATGTACATACTCCACTGCCGCCAAATTTGTGTGCCGCGTTAATATTTATTCCCCCCCCCCCATTAAAGTTCCGAATATCTGGGAGTTTCTGTGTCTTGTGATTTGGTGAATGATGGGCTGCAAATAGCAGCCGGCAAGATGTTTAAATAATTTGAGGGACTCGATTAAGTTTGCTCTCGTTTTTGCCGGGTGTTTAAATTCTGCGATAGCTTAGCGGGTCTTGTTGCATAAACCTTAATCTTCCGGGAAGCTTCATCTAAGGCTATCTTCTACAAAACGGTGTAGCTAAAGAGGCTTTTGGGTCGGTGCTGTCGCAGATTCGTAGAACGACTACTAAGTTTCGGGGGAATTAGGGTGGCGACGTGGATTCCACGAGAATGGTCTAAAATGAGGCGGCTCACGCAAACATCTCGGTGCTTATTGTGTTGAGTTATAGCTGACTTCGGATGATGATGATGGGAAACAGCAGAAATGTTCGAACAAGTTATTCACAGGTTGATGAAACACCCCAGAAAGCGTGGTTGCTACAAGTGACATCCAGCGCCCCATTTTGACAAGTAAATCGGAGGTTTTGGAAGCGCAATTCTCCAAATCCACCGTCAAGACTACACATTTGATGCATTCAGGTATATTCACTTGAAAACGGCTTAATTTGATCCGCTTTCCGAGAGTTTAATAGAACTTTCTTAATGTGCCCTAGCTTAGGTGTACTGGCATTTGGTTTCAATCAGGCACAATAACTTAACGAATAAATGAGACAATTTCTTAAAATCTGAAGGCATTTGCCTTCGTAACTGTTTTTATCTAAGTTAATATTGCTTGTGAGAGGCAAAAAACTCCGTTTAAGGCCGTCAGTTTACTATTTTTTGGATGGTTGAAATAAAAATTTGCTAGTTCCAAAAAGGGGTAAATGTTGTTCAGATAATAGAGGCTGCGTCATTAGCTGGGATTGAGCAGGGTTGTTTTTAAACCAAAATATCTGAAACAGATTTTAGCTTATAGTGATGCAAGGTGAAACGTGAGACTTGGTGATGCACTTAATCTGAAGCAGTGGGTAGTAAGAACAAAATCAATCGTCGCGATTTCCGTCAACTTTCACCAAGGTTGATGTTTTATTATGTTGTTGTGGGCCTAAGTATGTGGTCTTGAACCACGCTGGGGTCACTGAATTAACCCTGGCCCGATTATGCTTCCCAGATACCCGCGACGAAGAAAAAGACCGGGGAGGACGTGGACACAACTGTTTACTGCCGAGCTCAATCACGTTGGTGCTGTTGCGTCGTGTGCGGGGTTTGAGCACATGTATTTATTCCTCGGATGTGTGAGTCATACATGCGCTACCATCGAGATCTAGGTATGAGGATAATCCGAGATAAATATCCACATGAATGAGGGGGGAGTAGAGGATCCGCGCGTCTTGCGACAGGCTGCGAAAAGGGGGACCTTGAGCCGGAGGCTAGAGTGACCGAATTAAGGGATGTAAATAAACACGATTCACAACAATGTCAAAGCAGAGGACAATTTAGCAGATGTAATTTTCCTTTTATCGCGAAATGAAAGTGGAGCCGAATTCGAAAGGCCATAATTAATGCAACCTCGTGTTTGTTTTGCGTTTTCTAGCAATATTATGGAGAATCAGTAACCTTACTAATGCTGAAAATCCCACAGCATAAATACTGCAATGATACAAGTTCGAGCTTGAGAAAAAAGGCATAAGTTTGACCGTTCACACAAAACAAAATCTATGGAAATGAAGAAATTTTAAGTTATTCCTCCATATACTTCTGCGTAGGATTGGCAATATTAGCTTCTTTAAGAATTTCTGGTAGAAAGTAATAAAAGAGACAGACACATTTTTCTGGAATGGAACTGACATTTCTCCCGAATTCTATGTTCTTTTATACAAATTAGAAGATTTTTTCAAAACAATCGCAAGACTTAGTGTATTGTTTTAATTGGAAATCAAAAATAATGTCAAACAAATTAATTTGGAGATTTTACGAAATTTCGACGTGGAACAGACGATATATTTTCAAGTGTAAATATATAAGTGACATTAAACGGATTAAAATAAAACAGAAAATAGGAATAACCGTTTAGACTATCTTATAGAAAGTTAATATACCATATTTGTTGCAATGAAAATTACTTTAATGAGTCATTAAAGAAAATTTAACCAACATGGCAGTTACACACCCGTTAACATTCTTTGGCAAAGTGCACGAATACTATAAAAGAAAACAGAGTCCAACAATTTCGCATTTAAGGAAGGAAATTTAGTGCGTTTTTATGGCTTGACACTGCCATGGTCAATTCGCGAATATAAGATTTGAAATTAACAAGGAGTCTGAAATTCAAAGAAAAAGATAATACTAACTATTATGAATTATAAAGTTATTTATCTTTTTACATGCATTGAAAGCATGAATATACATACCTGAGTCTATAGGAGGAAATAAAGTCCAAAATCGCTGAGCGATTGTGGAGGTTTCTTCAAGACTTGATGATTATTCGACTTAACGCACGTGTATTAAATTCTGAAATGACATTTTATTTACTGTAATTAATTAACATATTGACATCCAGGTAATGGATCTACCCAACGTGCACATTGGTTTTCTATCACGAAAAGGGATGCTATTTGTTTATTATAAAAACAATTTAGCCATAATACGGCTAACTCATGACTGCTTGTTGCTAAATGGCTGCCTATTAACGTAATTTTAGAAAAACACATTTTTTATATGAATGAATCAAATTTGTGTCCTTGTGTGTTTTTCTGAGGTCATTAAACACCCGCTGTGTTTAATGTCGAGTTGTGTTTAGTTTTCCCTAGAAATCTGAATAAATCATGGCTCAGCGGATTTTTCAGTCGTTTCGTCGACTTCCCGCTCAGTTAACGTCTATGCGCAAAAAGCATGATAATATTGAAGTTGTCGGAAGCCATTATAAAATTAATGTGGTTCGTCAGTTATTGCGACATTATATGCAATTATATAGTGCTCAAATATAGGGTTTCCTTCAAAGCCATCATCTCTCGCTTATGACCAGGCACTTAATATATTTGCACTAGCTACCAGAGACGGCCTAATCTACGTGTATCCTTTTTGCATGCAATATATTTCTTTTCATATTTTACACTTTCCTAGTTTGTCCTTAACGATTCATTAGTTATGGAAAACCTGGTGTCGTGTATTCTGGATCACACAAGGACTCTTCAGAAATTATCAAGGTGGTCTTCCTAACCGGAACCGTAAGTGTGCACTGTAGGAGTAACTTCTGCTCCTCTGTAGGGGAAGCTTTTGACGCTAAGCGATACCGACGATATTTATATGTGGGAGATAGACTCCTCAAACGGTGTGCATCCTTGCTTGCGAAACATTGGCTCTCTCATCGGCGTTTCCAGTGCTTTGGAGCCGAAGCATCTTGGTGTGGAACAGCCTTCATCCACCGACGATGACCCTGAGAGTGTCAGTCACGTCACCGCGCTCATTGTTGCAGCCTCGGGAACCGTAATTTTCGTTGGAACTGACCAAGGCAGCGTGGCTTCTATTCGCCGCAACATGCAAGTTAAACGTGGTGTTGCCCAAGATGAAGGTACCATGTGGATATTGCCGACCCAAGATGAAGTCATTACACCTCAACGCGTTCTCCAAAGGTTTGTTTTTAAACTGTAGAACTTAAATTTTGGCGCACTTTACTATTGTACATTTCGATGTTGACATCTTCTAAAAATTTTCCTTTTGGCTGTTGACCATTTAGGATCAATAAACCTGGGTTTAAGCTCCTTTAGTCTAAGGCGTATTTTTGAACATTTATTTAAATGTTCTAAACCGGAACAATTCTATATTCGTTGCATCTGTGTATAAACTTAATTTAACCATCGATAATTTTGCCTACCCTGAATCTTATCTAGCCATTACTTCACCGTTGTTTTAATAAACAAATACCTATTGTTGATGTCGCATTTCCCAAAATTCTCTTAGGCGAGGCTTCTCGTGTGTGTTTATCGGTTTATAAATTGCAGAGTCGCTGTAACTATGATAACAAAATTCAATGCAACTTGAATCCTGTTCTGTCTGTAAAAAAACTTACAGCTTTATTTCCGATCTGCTTACTTTTTTTGCAAACCACGTTTTTATCTAATTAACCTTTCAATTGTTGAAGCCCCACTTAAATGCTAAATTAACGCCTTCTTCACAGGCGTTTTGTTGAACGTCTTTGCCCTTGACCACGTCGTTTCTAGTGCCATCGCCACTACCCCCATGTTACCCGCTTGTCATTGGCTGACGTTCACTCACTGACTTAATCACACATTTGTCTCTGCTTACACATAAATCATCTCATACACACTGTGCATTAGTAACGAGTGCACACTAGACTGGTCTTTTGACCAGTGTTTCCGCTGCCTGCGTCTGTAGTCATCTATTTGGCATTGGATATCGCTGAGCATAGTGCTCAATTAGAGGCCTGTGTGCTGTGCGACCTTGCCGCGCCTGCGTAGTGTGCCTAGAACACTCAATAAATGCGTCTAACGCCGCGAACTGTTTACTGGCATACGATTGGTGGCGTTCGCACACCAATATGGGCAGTGTCTGTGCGTTGTGAGAATCGGACACGCCAGTGTACTCATTGTCGCTCACACACACACCCATGCTAATAGCCTTTTTACCTTGACTTTAACTACACTTTGCAGCATTCCACCGGAGAAACGCGGGCGACTTCGACTGGACGCCGTTGTCGTCCTCTCCGAGCGACCAGGCTACCCCGGCCACCTCCTCATTGGCTACAGCTCGGGCCTGTGTGTGCTCTTCGACCTCCACGCCGACCGAGTGCTCTGCCTGCTGCCGTGCCAGTACGAGCTGGAGGCGGTGGCGTGGTGCGGCGGCTCGGGCCGGCCAATCCGTGGGGCGTCCGCCAACCCCACTGCCACGCCGCCCCACCTCGGCACGCGCCTCCTCACTGCCTACGCCAACGGCTCTCTCGGCGTGTGGCAGGTGCCTCTGTTCACCGCCGCCGCCGCCGCCTCTGGTCCGCCCACCGACCCTTCCATGCAGACCCTCCACATGATGGAGTCGCCCAGCATGCCCTACGGTAGTTGCCAGACTTGAGATGTGTCTTAGCTGTCATACTACTAATCCCGCATTTAAGTAGTGTCTTTGGAAGTAATGCACATTGGAAGAGTGTGATGAGAGTGCTGAAGCGACTGCTGTTCTGTTTGGTCTTTTCACCCAGTCCCCACTTTTTGCCGCAAATTTGGCACAATTTCACTAAGGCAGTGCGTTTAAGGTCAAGGATACTGCACTAGACCAACCTTAGGTACTCCGATGACTTGTTGCATGTTTTGCTTTCATCGCATGAAAGTGAAATATAGTTTTTTTTTTCTCCGAATTTCATAGTGTGGTTCTGGTTGTTTGTAAACACTTTGATTTGCAGGTGTTAGAAATACGAAAAGATTTTATAGCTGTCCCCCAACGAAGCAATTAATTGGGGGTAACTTCTCATTTTTGTGTTGAATCCCTCAAAATCCGCAAGTCGGACATCATGTTCTCGTAAGTACCTAGGTAGTAAGGTCAACTCATTTAAAAAAAAAGGATTTTACTTTTGATTTGCCAGGCCTTTCTGGTGATTGGTTCACCTCAAGGTCGCTTTGTAATCACCACAGGATCAACGCACCTCTGGGCTCACGCTTTTCTTGTTATTTCTTTCAGGTCCGTTTCCATGCAAGCTGATTGACAAGGTGTTTTGGCTGCCGTCGCACAAGTAAGCTTTTATGTTCCTGGTTCCACTGCAACCAGTCGTTTATTTCGTCGTCGTCGTCGTCTTCTTCTTCTTCTTCTCCTCTACCTCCACGACCTCCTTCACCACCTTACTCCTCCTCCTCCTCCTCCCTATTCCCCTTACGACCAAACTGACCGCCTTCCGATTCTGATGCACTCGTGTTTGCGTTGTGGCATCTTCAGATCTCGCGCGATGCTCTGCATTTCATGCGGTCTAGTTTAAGTGGTGTGGGTAGTTTCGGTTTGTTGTGTGAAATCCGTCCCAGGTTTTTTTAGCACAAGGGATGAACCTTGACCAGTGGCTTTGTTCGATAGCATTTTTGGCAACTTTGTGAATCCGCACATGGCGTCATCGTTGGTGAAGGTTTTACCAATCAAAGAAGCCTGCCAAGCTAGATGCTACTCCATTTTGATTGGTCGCGATTGTAAACATCTCAGTTGATGTTGATTGGTTCCCAAGAGTCAGCTCAAAGTACCCAAGTCCTTTGCACTCTCACCGCCAACCTGACAGCATGTTTCGATTCCGACATGGTTTTTTCTCTGGTTCGCCATTCTTACACCAGGCTTGTTTTTCGAGTAGCGTACGTGTAGGTGAGATGCAGTGATGGTTTGGGCTAAAAGAGGGACAATCTCATCGTGTTTGAGAGGCATATCGCATAGCATTGTATGGCTGTGTTAATGCTTAACCCAAACATCGCACAGTTAAGTAATCACACTGACTTGGCGATCAGCGATTTGATTGGTCAAATAACAGCGAATTCGGGCACTGGATTGTCAGACAAGTCTGATGGCAAAGACACCAGTATTTAGATGGGTTAACATTGTCGTTGTGTGTGTGTGTGGGGGGGGGGTGTTTGTGACTAATTTGGAAGTTGGCCAATGCAGTTTCGGTGTTATACTAATCCCTGATTCTTCTTCGACGGATTTCGAGTGAACCCTGCGTGATTATTGTCATTGTCGTCCTGAAATCAGGCTTTCTTCGCGTCTTCTGCTCAACCTACACCCACTTGTAACCCAGTCTTCGAACGCTGAATCATCTCTTGGTCGCCTGTTTTCTCAGTTCTACCTTGATACCAGTCACGACTCGTTGCCTGTGTGTGTGTGTGTGTGTGTTTACGTGCTTGCTTGGTTGCCGCCCACGTTAACGACAAATCCACCAATAGCATTGGTCCTCTCAAACCGACACTCGTGCTGGAGCGAGTTCAAACTCCCCTGCTTGTGAATTCCACGCCTCCGAGTGAAATCTACGTCAGAATTTGTGTGATTCCTTCCTTTTCCAGGGGTGGAATAACCGTGTTCTCGGGTGGAATGCCACGTTCCACCTACGGCAATCGCCACACCGTCAGCATCCTTCGTGGTTCCAACTTGGACCAAGCAGCGGCGGCCAATCTGGCTGCAGCACTGCGCGCCGACGCTGGCGGCGAAGACAGCCTGCTAGACGACGACGAGGAGGAGCTTGACGGTGAGGGAGAGGAGTTCGACGACGGCGACCAGACGGGTCTGCTTGCCAGCGGTCTGGTTCCCGGGGCTCCAGTGCACGTCTTCGACTCGGACGCTCCTGAGCACGTCTGCCTGGACCTATCCTCGCCCCTGGTGGATGTCTGCCCCGTGGGACCGGCCGGAGGTCCCGCCGCGGGCCTGTTAATCCTCTGCGAGGAGGAGATGGTTGCGGTGGATCTCCTCACCCCCGGCTGGCCTCTCTTCTCCCTGCCCTACCTCTCCTGTCTACACACCGCCTCGCTAACAGCCTACGGCCTCTTCACCCAGGTGAATCCCGCCTTCCTCGCGCGCCTCGAAGCGGTCTCGTCGACGTGCGACCGGGGCGATGCCTTCGGCTTGGCCGCGTCACCTGGGGAGGCCGGTAATGCCTCCGCCAAGCCCCGCCTATCTTCCCGCCCCTGGCCCATCCAGGGGGGACAGTGTGTGCCGGCGGCGGGCACGGGCAGTCCCGTGCGCAGCGCCTCCTTCGATCCGGCGCGCAGTCTCGTCACTTCAAACGACCTCCTCATAACCGGCCACGAGAACGGCGCTGTGGCGTTCTGGCGTCTCGGCCCTGGTGGTTGCTCGCGCAACGTCTTCACCCTGTACACCGGGTCGCTGTTCGAGGGTGACTTCGGCCCAGACGTTTCTGGGGTAAGGGTTCGCCAATTTGTGCACGCCAACACGCTTGAAGCATCGATTTCTTGGGTCAATTTGCCCTCTTCTCCTTCGTTTTCTTAGGATCCCACGAGGGCGACAGAGGAGGAGGCTGATCCCTGGCCGCCGTTTCGACGTGCGAGTCTCTTCGACCCCTTCATGGACGACGTCAGAGCGGCCATTAAGGCGATCCGTCTCGTCGACAACACTCTGGTCTTGGGCGGGGCTGCTGGCCAGGTAGGGTTCGTTTCTTCATTGTCACCGTCACCTTCAACCGCACAATCCAACTCACGTCCACCTTGCTGACCTTCTAGGTATCAGTTTGGCAGTTCTCCGACTCCAAGCCAGCCATGGCGAAGCTGGACCTCCCCATCACGCCTGAGATTCCTGGCTTCCGCTGGAAGGGCAACGCTCCACTCACGGTGAGCTCTGTCGAGTGTCTAGACAACGCACTGGCGTTTCCACCCCTCCCCGACAATCCGCGTCTGTGTGCGGGTGTGTTCCAGCGTTAACACGCCATCGTGGGCTTCCGTGAAGATCTCGTCTTGGTTGAAACCGATGCTACACTTCGGCACAAACTATTCAAGCCCTACACCCACTCTCTCTCACCCATATCTCAGCCGTGTATTATAACGCAGCGCTGTAGTCAGGCCTCATTTGCATAATGCCTCGCACGACTACCTCTTTCTGTCTGAATCGTTTATTATTTTTCTTCTCACGTAGACTAAACTACACGAAACCTTAGTGCAAGGCTGGAGTGGATGCTTGTGTCCTGTGTAAACACACACCCAGTGATGTGCTATTTACACAACCCACGTGTGTCGTGACTCATAACTTACTTAAGGTAGAAGTCCTTAAGGCTGACATCGTGTTGAGTTGGTCTGTGGAGAGATTGTGTGTCCGTTTGTGAGGTTGTGAACACCGGTGATGGATTTAAACAAGCGCGTTGTCTTAGCTGTGCTCTCTCATGCACACGAGTCCCGTGTCAAATGCCACTTTTGAGCCAATTGTTTCATCAAACGGATGGGTGTTTACTTCTGTTTGCTCGCAATTGTAGTTGCGACCGTCGATGCATCAGCGCTGTCCCGGCGCGAGCCTCTTTCCAGTCGGGCTGGCGCTCTCCCAGCCACCTTCCCCCGTCACCTCCATCGCCGTGTGCGAGCTGCGCGACACGCTGGACAAGTCGGCGCTGAACCAGCCAATCGGCGTGCTAGTTGCCGTGGGCAGCCCCCACGGTTTCGCGGTGCTGCACTTGTCGACACCCACCGGCACCGCGGCACGATCGATGGAGGCGGGTGGGGGAGGCGGGGGAGGAGAAGGCGTCGGCTGCCACCTCCTCCTCCACCACTCCACCATCCCCGCCAACAGCGAGGCGCTGGAGGAGGCGGCTGTTGGCGAGGGCTGGGCCAGACGACGGACTAGGGAGTTGAAGAACTCCTTGAGGGACTCGTTTCGGCGTCTCAAGCGCATGAAGTCGACTAGATCGTCGATGTCGACTGCCTCGACACCTGCGACTGCTGCCTCGCCGCCAGCGCAGTCGCACTCACCCGTTGTGCGTCTAAATTACTCAGCCAGAGTGGGCTTGCGGAGGAGCGTCACACAGGTTAGTTGGGGGTGGGGGGAGCGGGGGTATGTGTGTTGGTGCGATCTCATCACCTTCTCGTCTTCTGCTACATCCTTCACCATCACCTCTTCCATCTTTACCATCTCCCTCTACCAACTCAGCGTCAACTACCTTCAGCCAACACGTCCTCCACAACTAGCACTCCCACCGTTACTTCCAGTACCTTTTTCTTTTCTTTCTCCTCCACTATCATTTCTACCACCGCCGCCTCCTCCTCCATCTTTATCTCCGCCTCCTACACCACCTTTCACCATCGTCTCTTTCACTGCCGTCACCACCACCACCACCACCACCACCACCACCACCACCACCACCACCACCACCACCACCACCACCACCACCACCA